ATTTGGGATGCCAACATGGCACGGAATTGGGGTGCTGCCCCAAAGAGCCCAGGCAGCCTGGTGAGCTGGAATCACAGAAGTGAGGCGGTCACGCTGGCTCAGGGCTGCGTTCTTTCTAGCAGTGGAAATGATCGTGTGCCACTCACGGATGGTTTCATTAGGGCTGGTCTCCTGTAAACTCACATAGGTTTGCTCTTCCAGCTTCCCTTCAGCTCTGAGCCACGTGGCTGGGTGCTGGGGGCTGCGTGCTGTGGGTGCTGGGTGCGTGCTGTGGGTGCTGTGCGTGCTGTGGGTGCTGGGTGCGTGCTGTGGGTGCTGGGTGCGTGCTGTGGGTGCTGGGGGTGCTGTGGGTGATGTGCGTGCTGGGTGCGTGATGTGCGTGCTGTGGGTGCTGGGTGCGTGCTGTGGGTGCTGGGTGCGTGCTGTGGGTGCTGTGGGTGATGTGCGTGCTGTGGGTGCTGGGTGCGTGCTGGGGGTGCTGGGGGTGCTGTGGGTGCTGGTTGCGTGCTGTGGGTGATGTGGGTGCTGGGGGTGATGTGGGTGATGTGGGTGCTGTGGGTGATGTGGGTGCTGTGGGTATTGTGGGTGCTCGGTGCGTGCTGTGGGTGCTGTGGGTGCTGTGGGTGCTGTGGGTGATGTGGGTGCTGTGGGTATTGTGGGTGCTCGGTGCGTGCTGTGGGTGCTGTGGGTGCTGTGGCTCATGCGGGTGCTGTGGGTGATGTGTGTGCTGTGGGTGCTGGGTGCGTGCTGTGGGTGCTGGGTGCGTGCTGTGGGTGATGTGCGTGCTGCGGGTGCTGGGTGCGTGCTGTGGGTGATGTGGGTGCTGGGTGCGTGCTGGGGGTGCTGTGGGTGATGTGCGTGCTGTGGGTGCTGTGGGTGCTGGGTGCGTGCTGTAGTTGATGTGGGTGATGTGGGTGCTGTGGGTGCTGTGGGAGCTGGGTGCATGCTGTGTGTGCTGGGTGCTGTGGGTGCTGTGGGTGATGTGGGTGCTGCGGGTGCTGTGGCTGCTGGCTGCCTCCTGGGGTAGGAATGGCTCAGCTGGAGCTGCCTCTTGGTGGAAGCGTTTGTTCTGACCTTTTTGATTAGAATCCTGGAATCATGGATTCATTAACGATTACAAGAGACCTCCAGGATCCCCAGGCCCAACCCATCCTCCCCATCACCCCCACCACTGCCGTGTCCCCAGGTGCCACATCCCCACGGTTCTGGAGCAGCTCCAGGGACCCCCACACCTCCCTGGGCAGTTTGTGCCGATGCATCGCGGCTCTTTGGAGGAGAAATGTTTCCTGCCATCCAACCTGAGCCTTCCCTGGGTGCGATGTGAGGCCGCCTCCCCTCATCCTCTCGCTTTCAGACAAGGCCGGCGTGTTCCCAGCCCAAACAGACACCAGAGTCCCCTAACACTGTCACAGCTGTGCCCCAAACTCGTGGTGAGGAGCAGCAGAGCTGAGGGGGCAAGCAGGAGCATCGTGATGGAGAGGCACACTGAAACCAAGTGCTGAAGCGCTGGAGGGTCTCCTGCAGGAGCAGCCAAACTCAGGTGGCAGCCAGCAAGCCCCAGGTGCCAACTTTTAATAAACCCACCCGGGTTTGGTGTTGGCAGGGTGCAGTTGTGCAGCCTGGGTGTGTGCGTAGTCCCGGTTCTTTATGGTTGGAGCTGTGCTGGCTGCCGTCGGGCTCGGTGGGACAGCATCAGCTCTGCATCGCGGAACGAAACCCGGGTTGTGGAATGCGTTAGGAGCTCTGGTGTGGCTCTGCCAGAATGAAAATCCCTTCTGCTGCCGCTTTGCAGGTGCTCGTATGGACAGCACAGCTCCTGACGGCGTGCCAGAAAGCGGCTGGGAACCGTGCGTGATCCAATGGCACTGAGGATCTGGGAGCTGCGTGGCTGGGGTGGGAGCTGGGCCGCTGGCCGAGGGTCACGGCGATGGCGTCTGTGCTCAGGGCAGCTGCTGCTGTGTGCCTGAGCTCGTGCTGCAGTCCTGCACCAAGTGCTCACCCCTCAGTTGAAGCAGCGTGCATTTGGAGGGAGGACGGTTCAGGGGATGGGGAATCGTAGAACCGTAGAATCATAGAATCACAAGGTTAGAAACGACCTGTAAGATCATCTGGTCCAACCGTCTCCTCGTCACCGTTGCCACCACCAGCACCAAACCATGTCACGCAGCTCCTCGTCCGGATGGCGACTGCACCACCTCTCTGTGCAACCATTGCAGTGCCTGAGCACCATCTGAGAGAAGCAGTTCTTCCTTATGTCTGATCTAAAGCTCCCCTGGCACAGCTTGCGGCCATTGCCCCGTGTGCTGCTCGGTGCCTGGGAGAAGAGGCCAAACCCCTCCTCACCCCAGCCTCCCTTCAGGAAGCTGCAGAGCGCAGTCAGGTCTCCCCTGAGCTCCTCTTCTCACACTGAACGATCCCAGCTCCCTCAGCTGCTCCTCATCAGCCCTGTGCTCCAGACCCCTCACCATTTCGTTGCCCTTCTCTGGACACGCTCCAGAACCTCAACGTCTTTCCTGCAGTGAGGAGCCCAAAACTGAACACGGCGCTCGAGGTGCGGCCTCACCAGAGCTGAGCACAGGGGATGGATGCTCCCCTCCCTGCTCCTGCTGGCCATTCCTAATGCAGGCCAGGACGCCGCTGGCCCTCTTGGCCACCTGGGCACACTGTGGGCTCCTGTTCAGCCCAGCACCAACCAACACCCCCAGTTCCTTCTCTTCTTCACACTCACAGCCACTCATCCCCCAGCCTGCAGCACTGCATGGGGTTGCTGTGCCCAAATGCAGCACCCGGCACTCGGCCTCGTTGAACCTCATCCCATTCACCTCAGCCCAGTGCTCCAGCCTGTCCAAATCCCTGTGCAGGGCCTCCCTGCCCTCGGGCAGAGGGGTGGGTGGGCACAGGCGGTGGTCAGCAGCTCCGTGTCTGGACGGGGCTGGTGATGATGAGTGGTGTCCCCCATTGAGAAGCAGTGCTCTTTCAGCCCTTTCCCAGTGGCACAACCTGAGTTGTGTGTGATCCCATGGCTGTGCTGGCTGGCACACCCTGGTGGTTCTTGCTGTGAGCTGCTCTGCTCACAGCACTGGCAGCGTCCATCTGTCTGTGAGCTGTGGGGTCCAAGCAGTGGGGCTGCAGGCCCATCCCCACCTGGTTGCCCTGCTCTGCCCCGGGCCCATGCACCGAGACTGGCAGCATATGGAATTGCTTTAATTTGCTCACAGATGTTGGCATTTCCACTCAGCCTGCCCGGCTCGTCTTAATTAGCTCATGAGAGCGTTGGCTGTTGCTGGAAACGGCTAATTGGGACAAGCAGCGGGATTAACAGATTTGCAGTTGTGCAGTTTGGGATGTCATCTTCGGAGCACGCTTAACCTCCCCAGCTGTATTGCAGCCCCAGGGAATGGTGCTGTGCTGGTTGTGCTGCTGAGCAGCTCGGGGCTGACGGCTCGTGGGGCAGGCAGGTGTTGGTAGTGCTTGAGCTCCAGCCCTGTGCCCCACACTTTGTGCCCCACACTTTGTGCCTGAGCCCCACACCTGGCTCTGTGACCACGTCCCGTACCCCAGCTCCGTGGCGAAGTAATTCCTTACCCAAACCCCATGACCGGATCCTTTATCCACTCCCACACTGGGTATCAGGGGAAGTTCTTTGCTGTGAGAGAGGTGAGGGGCTGGAACAGCTGCCCAGAGAGGCTGTGATGCCCCGTCCATCCCTGGAGGTGTTCAAGGCTGGATGGGGCCCTGGGCAGCTCGATCTAGTGTTGGATGTGGAGGTTGGTGGCCCTGTGTGTGCTGGGGGGGATTGGAGCTTCATGATCCTTGAGGTCCCTTCTAACCCAGGGCATTCTGTGCTTCTATGATTTTCATACCCAAGCTCCATGACAAAGTAATTCCTTATCCAAACCCCATGTCCAGGTCCTTTATCCTCCCCCCATACCTGGGCTCCGAGTCCCATAGAATCACAGAATCCTTAGGGTTGGAAGGCACCTTTGAAGGTCATCAAGTCCAACCCTCCTCCAATGAACTGGGATGTATTCCAGCTCCACGCCAAAGTCCCATGGCCAAACCCCACAGCCGTGTCCCGTACGCAGGCTTCATACTCAAGCTCCATGCCAAAGTCATGCAGCCAAATCCCATACCCAAGCTCCATACCCACTTCCCATGCCCAAGCTTCATGCGAACTTCCCATACCCAAATCCCATACCCAAAGCCTATACCTGAATCCCATACCCAAGCTCCATACCCAAAGCCTATACCCGAATCCCATACCCAAGCTCCATACCCAAAGCCTATACCCAAATCCCATACCCAAGCTCCATACCCAAAGCCTATACCCAAATCCCATACCCAAAGCCTACACCCGAATCCCATGCCCAAAGCCTATATCCGAGTCCCATACCCAAAGCCTATACCCGAGTCCCATACCCAAAGCCTACACCCGAATCCCATACCGCAAGCCTATACCCAAATCCCATACCCAAAGCCTGTACCCAAAGTCCCATATCTAAGCCCCATACCCAAGTCCTACACCCAAGCTCCATGCCCCAGCCCCATACCCATGTCCCATGCCCCAGCTCCATACCCGGACCCCATACCCAAACCCCATACCCAAGTCCCATGCCCCAGCCCCATACCCGGACCCCATGCCCAAACCCCATGCCCCAGCCTGGTGCCCAGCAGCACGGGCAGCGCCCTGTTCAGGTCCTGGCAGCAGCACGGTGAATGTGAATGTCATCAGGAGCTGATCTCTACCCCTGGCCATCTTAAATTACTCAGGTGATAACGACTCCCAAGCTGATGAAGTGCAGCTGAGGGGCTTCAGGAGGTGGGACCCTTACCTGTCCTACAGAAACCTGGGGCTGATGTGTGGGAAGGGGACGGGTGGGCTTCACAGAACTGCAGGATTGGGTGGGAAAGGACCGTCAGCCCCATCCAACTCCAATCCTTGCCACCCTTCCCGTTGTAATCGTGGTTGATAATGCTGCGTTTTGTTTCGTTTTGCGCAGAGTGGAAACAGCTTCCATGTGTTTGACCAAGGACAGTTTGCCAAGGAGGTGCTCCCGAAGTACTTCAAGCACAACAACATGGCCAGCTTCGTGCGGCAGCTCAACATGTGTGAGTATCACAGCCCGCGGGGCTCAGTGCTGCAGCGAGGTGCCAGGCTTTAACCCAGGGAGCCTTTGCTGCCTTTGCAACCATTGGGTTCTGGGGACCCAGCAGTAAGTTGAAGGTCGACTTGATGGGATTAGCAGCGCTGCAAACTTGCGCTGGATGAAAAGAAGCCCGTCGGACTTCTTTCATCTCCGCAGCCCCGATTATTAGATCAGGAGCTCTCAGTGCCTGCTTTGTGCTCGCTGTCTTTAGCTGCCGGCGTTCCTTGCCAGCCCTGCAATGAAGGAGGAACTCGCCTGGAACGCGTCCAGCTGGACTGAGCTGCCACACACAACAGCTTGTTCATTTTCTGCCTGCTTCCTCCTTCAGGGGATGTTGCGGTCAGCGTTATGTAAAGCAGACGCTGACTGAACTTGCACTTCTGAACAGCACTTAACTTTCTTGCTGTCAGAGCCGCAGCAATCAGAGCAGGGCTGGAAGGATGGTGATTCGACCCGGTGTAGGGAACCTGCTTTGGCAGGGGGGGGTTGGACTCGATGATTTCTGGAGGTCCCTTCCAACCCCTACAATTCTGTGAGGATCTCGGTCCTTTGAGTCAGGTGCCACCGTCACTGGGCTGCTCTGATGGCTTTGTGCCTCACCTGGGCTTTCTGAGCCTCCAGTGAGGAGATGAGATTCAGGCTGTGGCTTGGGCAGGCGCGCTCCTGGCTGGGTAGAGAGCCGGCCGCATGGCTGGGCCAGAGGTGATGGTGGATGGAGGCACATCCAGCTGGCTGCTGGTCACGGGTGGTGTAACCCAGGGCACAGTGCTGGGGGCCATCCCGTTCAGTGACTTTATTGATGGTTTGGTTGCAGGCATTGAGTGCACCCTCAGGCAGTTTGCAGGTGACTCCACGCTGGGGAGAAGCGTTGATCTGCCCGGGGTGGGAAGGTCCCTACAGAGGGACCCGAACGCACTGGATCTCTGGGCTGGGGGCAGTGGGGTGATGTGCAACGAAACTGAGCTCTGGGTCTTGCGCTTTGGCCGCACCAACCCCACACAACGCTACAGGCTTGGGCAGAGTGGCTGGAAGGCTGAGTGGAGGGAACAGACCTGGGGGGTGTTGGTCAGTGCTTGGCTGAACGTGAACCAGGATCATTCCCTGGGTGGCCAAGGAGGCCATCAGCATCCCGGCTTGTGTCAGCAGCAGTGCAGCCAGCAGGAGCAAGGAATCATCTCTGCGTTCAGCATTGATGGGAGCACAGCTCAGTGCTGCGCTCGGCGTTGGGACCCTCAGTACAAGTGGAGGCCCTGGAGGGCATCCAGAGCAGGGCAGCAGAGCTGTGAGGGGTCTGGAGCACCTTATGGGGAGCAGCTGAGGGAACTGAGGTTGTTCAGTGTGGAGAAGAGGAGCTCGGGGGAGACATTATTGCTCTCTGCAACTGCCTGAAGGAGGGTTTTCAAGAGTCGCCTGGATGAGGAGCGACGAGAGATGGTTTAGTAGCTTGTGGCACTGATAGGAATGGGAGGGTGGTTGGACTGGATGATCTTGCAGGTCGTTTCCAACCTTGTGATTCTGTGAGGGTTGTGGTGAGGTGGGGGTCGGCCTCTTGTCCCCTGTAGCCGTGATAGGCCTAGAGGGAATGGCCTCAAGTTGGACGTTCAGGTTGGACATTAGGAAAAACTGCTCTCAAAGGGTGATCCAGCACTGGCACGGGCTGCCCAGGGAGGTGGTGGTGGACACCCATCCCTGGAGGTGTCCAGGAAACATTTGGGTGCTGTGCTGAGGGACGTGGTTAGTGGGGAATGGTGGTGGTGGGTGGACGGTTGGACTGGGTGATGTCGGAGGTCTTCTCCAACCTTGGTGATTCTGCGATTCTTTTCCTTCAGGAAATGCTTTTACCATAAGGATGGTGAATGTCAAACCCAAGCTGTCCTTGCTACTGTTCACACCCTCTACTTCACACACAATCACAGCATGGCCTGGGTTGAAAGGGACCTCAAGGATCACGGAGCTCCAACCCCCCACCACAGCAGGGCCACCAACCTCCCCATTTCACAGCAGCCCAGGCTGCCCAGGGCCCCATCCAACCTGGCCTTGAACACCTCCAGGGATGGACGGGGCATCACAGCCTCTCTGGGCAGCTGTTCCAGCACCTCACCGCTCTCATAGCAAAAAACTTCTCTCCTCATTGCTGGGGAGATCAAGAAGAGACACAGTCTTTTTTTCTTTGAGTCTTTGCGTCTTTGAAGGCATCAGAGAATCACTGAAGTTGGAAAAGACCCTTCAGATCACTACACCCAACCATCACCTACACATCCACCACTAAACCCCGTCCCTCAGTGCCAAAATCCCTGCAGGGATGGGGACTCCGCCGCCTCCCCGGCCCGGTGCCCAGCTGCCCTTTCCATAAAGAAATTACTCTTGATACCCAGTCTAAGCTCTGCTGCCACCACTTGATATCCTCTCTTCAATCCTCTTTGTTATTTTTTTTCCTTTCTTTCTTCCCCCTAAAAGTAACCAGACCTGGTTTTGATTCTCCTGGGCTGTCTTCCAGCTTTCAGTCATTTGCATTCCGTTCCGCACTGACTCTGTTGCATCTGGGCTGAAACGCGGCAGCCAGCACTGGATTTATCACCGAGTGCAAATGAACACAGCAAGTCACGTCCTGAAGGCGTTGCTGTTGTGTAGAATCATAGAATCATAGAATCACCAAGGTTGGAAAAGACCTTCAAGATCACCCAGTCCAACCGTTCACCTATTCCCAACAGCTCCTACTAAACCACGTCCCTCAACACAACATCCAGCCTTTCCTTGAACACCCCCAGGCTCGGTGACTCCACCACCTCCCTGGGCATCCATTGCAGTGCCTGACCACCCTTTCTGAAAAGTAATACTTCACAGAATCACACAGAACTGTAGGGGTTGGAAGGGACCTCCAGAGCTCATCGTGTCCAACCCCCTGCCAAAGCAGGTTCCCTACAGCAGGACGCACAGGTCGGCATCCAGGCAGGTCTGGAACATCTCCAGAGCAGGAGACTCCACCACCTCCCTGCAGCCTGTTCCAGTGAACAGTGGGACCCATAGAGACACATTGAGACCCATAGAGACACATTGAGACCCATAGAGACACGTTGGGACCCATAGAGACACGTTGGGACCCATAGAGACACATTGAGACCCATAGAGACACGTTGGGACCCATAGAGACACGTTGGGACCCATAGAGACACGTTGGGACCCATAGACTCCCCCACCTCCCTGCAGCCTGTTCCAGTGCTCCGTCACCTCACTGTAAAGAAGTTCTTGTGCACATTGGTGCAGAACTTCCTATGCTGCAGTTTCCAGCCGTTTCCCCTCGTCCTGTCTCCACTCCCCACTGAAAAGAGTCCGGCCTCGCCATGCTGCCCCCCACACCTCAGATATTGACAGACCTGGATCAGCTCCCCTCTCAGCCTCCTTTCCTCCATGCTGAACACACCCAGCTCACTCAGCCTTTCTCCATAGCAGAGATGCTCCAGGCCCCTCACCATCTTCCTGGCCCTCCGCTGGACTCTTCCCAAGAGATCCCTGTCTGTTTTGTACTGGGGAGCCCAGAACTGGACGCCGTGCTCCAGGTGAGGCCTCAGCAGGGCAGAGCAGAGAGGGAGGATCACCTCCTTCGACCTGCTGGCCACGCTCTGTGCAATGCAGCCCAGGATGCCATTGGCCTTTTTGGCCACAAGGGCACACTGCTGGCTCATGGCCAACCTGTCGTCCACCAGGACACCCAGGTCCCTTTCTGCAGAGCTCCCCTCCAGCAGCTCATCCCCCATCCAGCAGGTCATCCCCCAATACTTCCTCATGTCCAGCCTGAATCTCCCCTGCCGTAGCTTGAAACCATTCCCCCTGGTCCTATCACTGATGACACGAGAGAAGAGGCCGACCCTCAGCTCACTGCAACCTCCCTTCAGGAAGTTATAGAGAGCAATGAGGTCTCCCCTGAGCTCCTCTTCTCCAGACTGAACATTCCCAGCTCCTTCAGCCTCTCCTCATATGGCCTGTGTTCCAGACCCCTCACCAGCTCTGTGTGCGGTGTGTTATGGCGCTGGCCTTTTGCTGCAGAGCCTGTCCCACCAAATTTCGCCTGTCTCCTGAATGGTGCATGTGTGTAGGTGAGGAGTGGCACTGCTTTGCACCCTGTCCTCAGAGAAGTGTTGAGAGCTGTCAGGGAATGAGGGGATTCCACCTCTCCTTGCAGCTGAGGAGGGGGTGCCCAGATGTCAAATCCCTGCCAGGAGATCAAGGGTGAGGCTGGACTGGCTCTGTGTCGTCGTGGAATGGCTGATGGGTTGGAGGGGTGCTTAAAGATCATGCAGCTGTGGAACGGTTGGATTGGAAGGGTCCTTAAAGGTCGTAGAGCTGTGGGACGGTTGGGTTGGAAGGGTCCTTAAAGATAACAGAGCCACAGAATGGTTGGGTTGGGCTGGAAGGGTCCTCACAGATCATAGAGACATGGAATGGTTGGGTTGGGCTGGAAGGGTCCTCACAGATCATAGAGACATGGAATGGTTGGGTTGGGTTGGAAGGGACCTGAAAGATGGTGGAGCCATCAGGTGGTTGGGTTGAAAGGGTCCTTAAAGATCACAGAGTCATGGGATGATTGGGTTGGGTTGGAAGGAACAGAGTCATGGGATGGTTGTATTGAAAGGATCCTTACAGATCATAGAACCATGTGATGATTGGATTGGAATGGTCCTTAAAGATCACAGAGCCATGGAATGGTTGGGTCAGAAGGGTCCTTAAAGATCACAGAGCCATGGAATGGTTGGGGTGGAATGGTCCTTAAAGACTGTAGAGCCATAGAATGGTTGAGTTGGAAGAGTTCTTAGAGATTGCAGAGCCATGGGATGGTTGGGTTGGAAAGGTCCTCAAAGATCACAGAGCCATGGGATGGTTGGGTTGGAAGGGTCCTCAAAGATCACAGAGCCATGGGATGGTTGGGTTGGAAGGGTCCTTAAAGATCACAGAGCCATGGGATGGTTGGGGTGGAAGAGTCCTTAAAGACTGTAGAGCCATAGAATGGTTGAGTTGGAAGAGTTCTTAGAGATTGTAGAGCCATGGAATGGTTGGGTCCGAAGGGTCCTTAAAGATCACAGAGCCATGGGATGGTTGGGTTGGAAGGGTCCTTAAAGATCACAGAGCTGTGGAATCACAGCACAGTTGGGTTGGATGGGACCCCCCCAACCCCCCCCTAAGCTCAGGCTGCCCACCTACAGCCCTGATGGGTTTGGGGCTGGACGTGGGGATCTCAGAACCCCCTTCCAACCTCAGTGGTTCCACGATTCCATGATCTTTGTGTCCTTTGTCTCGCTGGGGTGACTGCGTGTCGGGACGTTTTGGTGTTGGCACGCTGGATTTTGGGTCCTGCATTGCAAATGAGAAAACCACCACCTTCAGGTGTTCCTAATCCCTTTTTTTTCAGTGTGTGTGTGTTGAAGCTGTGCTGTAACGTGATCCAGCTCTTCGCACTCTGCATTAAGGCGGGGAAGCTATAAGGGGGGATCTGTCAGCTTGTGCTGGGTTTGAGCGTTTCAGTTCCCATGAAGCTGAGGGAGCCCAGGTCTGTGTGTCCAAACATGGGAGCAGTTCAGGGTTTGTCCCCACTCTGCTCATCCTGTGCTGGAAGAGAGGGACTTTGCCCAAGCTGTCCGCCACGACATCCTTATAACAAAGCTGTGAAGTGTGGGATGGAAGAGTGGACAGTGAGGTGGGTTGAGAGCTGGCTGAGTAGCAGAGCGCAGAGGGTCATTGGTGGTGGTGCAGAGTCGGGTTGGAGGCCTGTAAGCAGTGATGTCCCCCAGGGGTCTGTGCTGGGTCCGGTCTTGTTCAACATCTTCATCAATGACCTTGATGAGGGGATAATGGCCACCCTCAGAAAGTTTGTGATGATACGAAGTTGGGAGGATTGGCTGCAGGCCGTGCTGCCATTCAGCGAGAGCTGGACAGGCTGAGAGCTGGGCAGGAAGAAACCAGATGGGGTTTGACAACAGCAAGCGTGGAGTCTTGCATCTGGGGAGGAATAACGGCGTGCAGCGGTACAGGATGGGGATGAGCTGCTGGAGGGGAGCTCTGCGGAGAGGGACCTGGGGAGCAACAGGTTGCCGTGAGCCAGCAGGGTGCCCTTGTGGCCAACATGGCGTCCTGGGCTGCAGTGCACAGAGCGTGGCCAGCAGGGCGAGGGAGGCGATCCTCCCCCTCTGCTCTGCCCTGCTGAGGCCTCACCTGGAGCACGGCGTCCAGTTCTGGGCTGCCCAGCACAAAACAGACAGGGATCTCTTGGGAAGAGTCCAGCAAAGGGCCATGAAGATGGTGAGGGGCCTGGAGCATCTCTGCTATGGAGAAAGGCTGAGTGAGCTGGGTGTGTTCAGCATGGAGGAAAGGAGGCTGAGAGGGGAGCTGAGCCAGGGCTGTCAATATCTGAGGTGTGGGGGGCAGAATGGCGAGGATGGACTCTTTTCAGTGGGGAGTGGAGACAGGACGAGGGGAAACGGCCGGAAACTGCAGCATAGGAAGTTCTGCATGAATCTGCATAAGAACTTCTTTACAGTGAGGCAATGGAGCGCTGGAACAGGCTGCCAGGGGGCTGTGGGGTCTCCTGCTCTGGAGACATTCAAGGCTCGCCTGGATGCCGACCTGTGCGACCTGGTGCAGGAACGGCTTGGGCAGGGGGTTGGACTGATGAGCTCTGCAGCTCCCTTCCAACCCCTGCGGTTCTGTGATGCTGTCATTCTATGGGTCCCAATGTGTCTCTGTGGGTCTCAATGTGTCTCTATGGGTCCCAGTGTGTCTCTATGGGTCCCAATGTGTCTCTATGGGTCCCAACGTGTCTCTATGGGTCCCAATGTGTCTCCGTGGGTCCCAACGTGTCTCTATGGGTCCCAGTGTGTCTCTATGGATCTCAAGGTGTCTCTATGGGTCCCAGTGTGTCTCTATGGGTCCCAATGTGTCTCTATGGGTCCCAGTGTGTCTCTATGGGTCTCAACGTGTCTCTATGGGTCTCAACGTGTCTCCATGGGTCCCAACGTGTCTCTATGGGTCCTGCTGTTCACTGGAACAGGTTGCCAGGGGGTTGTGGGGTCTCCTGCTCTGGAGACATTCAAGGCTCGCCTGGATGCCAACCTGTGCGACCTGGTGCAGGAACGGCTTGGGCAGGGGGTTGGACTCCATGAGCTCTGCAGCTCCCTTCCAACCCCTGCGGTTCTGTGATGCTGTGATCTGCATAGCATATTTCCGTGCACAAAGGCCGCCTTCCGAGCAGCCCTGCTGGAGGTCAGCACTGATCTCCAGATGTGGCTTTGGAAGCATTCAGCTGTAGCAGGGGCTGATGTTTTCATTGCCTTTCAGCACCTCGAAGGCTGCAGGGCGTTTCTGCAGGGCCGTTTGCACTCCGGAGGATCCCTCGGATGGCTGAACCCCGGCTCAATGTCGCGGTGTGAGGTGTCACATCTCTGTGTGGCTCACTTTCTGCATGGGGGGCTTTTATTCCAGCCCAGCTGTAGGCTGACAGACAGCACTGCAAAGCTGCAGGTTGCCCAGGGCCCCATGCACAGCCTGGGGCACCTCATGGGCTGGGGCACCCACAGCTCCAGGCAGCAGTGCTGGGGCTGCACCGCCTCTGGGTGAAGGATTTCCCCATCTCTGACCCCACATCTCCCGTTTGACCTTAAAGCTGTTCCCTTTGGTCCCATCGCCGCTCTTCTGCATCGCTCTCCTCAAGTTCTTGGGCCCCCTGTAAGCTCTTGGAGGTTGCGGTGAGGTTCTCCTCCCCGGGCTGCACCCAGCTGTCAGCCTGTCCCCATATGGAGGTGCTGTACGAGCACCCCGTGCCCTCCTCTGGACCCCCATCTCTGCCCTGCCCCCAAAGCACAGCTCTTCAGGTTCAGCCTCTTCCAAACTAAGATGGAGCGAAACTTTCCAACAGTGCCTTTCTGGGAAACACGTGTCAGGATCAGAAATGGAGCTGTGATCTTTTTGAAGACCATGAGAGTCTTGGTCTCCTAATGGCCTTCCTGCTCTGAACCAGGCTCTAGGATCTCAGCTTGGAGACGAGGAACGATTTCTTCTCCCAAAGAGCCATCAGACCTCGGCGTGGGCTGCCCAGGGAGGCAGTGGGGTCACCAGCTCTGGAGGTTCTGAACTGTGGAGATGTGGCACTCAGGGACTGATCCCAAAGTGCTGATAATCCCATTACTGGGATTGAAAGTTGGGCCAGGGTGAACCTGATGAGGTTCAACACAGCAAAGTGCAAGGCTGGCACTTGGGCCGGAGGAATCCCAGGCATTTGTACAGAGAGCAGCCCTGCAAAAAGGTCCTGGGGGTCCTGGGGGGGGTGAAAAACTGAACATGAGGCAGCAGTGTGCATTGCAGCTGGAAAGCAAATGGGATCCTGGGCTCCATCAGCGGCCAGCAGGGACAGGAGGTGATCGTCCCCCTCTGCTCTGCTCCTGTGAGGCCCCGTTTGCAGCACTGTGTCCAGGGCTGGAGCCCCCAGCACAAGAAGGACAGGGAGCTGTTGGAGAGGGTGCAGAGGAGCCACAAAGGTGATCAGGGGCTGCAGCACCTCCACTGCAAAGACAGGCTGAGGGAGCTGGGCTCGTTCAGCATGGAGGAGAGAAGCTGCGGGGTGACCTCAGTGCAGCCTGCAGTGCCTAAAGGGAGCCTGCAGACAGGAGGGGAGTCAGCTCTGTGCAAGGGGAGATGGCAGCAGGACGAGGGGGATGGTTTGAAGCTGAGGGAGGGCAGATTCATCGCATGGCTGATGGCTCTCAGAAATGCCTCCAGTCACCAGAACTGTTGAGCTCAGGGGCTGGAAGGGAGCGAGTGCTGAACGCTGGGTGCTGCTGGGTGGTTTCCTGCAGACCCGGGGCTGCGACTGGAGGGCAGGAAGGCTGATTTCAGCCCCCCCCCTTCAGTGCCAGCAGTTTCAGCCTTTCCTCGTGCTGACCTGTGCTGTCCGCAGCAGAAGTGGGTTTGGGGAGAGCGGAGTTTTGTGCTCCGTTTTCGGGGTGAGATCTGTTTGAAAGGAGCTCGGCGGTGACAGCACTGCGTATTGGAGCAGGCGAGGGGGGGGACCCTGTGCTCCCCTCTGCTTTCTGAAGCTTAACCTTCATGCCTTCCCTTGTTTGCTTTTCAGATGGCTTCCGGAAGGTCGTGCACATCGAGCAGGGAGGGCTGGTGAAGCCGGAGAAGGACGACACTGAGTTCCAGCATCCCTACTTCATCCGTGGCCAGGAGCACCTCCTGGAGAACATCAAGAGGAAAGTCACCAGCGTAAGTGTGAGCTCAGATCCCTCGGGACAGGCTGTGGGTGAGCTGCTGAACCAGCATCACGTGCTGTGGGGATGTGGGGACCTTCCTAGCAGACTACAGATTTGCTCTCCGCTGTGTGGGATCGTTTAACCCCTTGCCAGCCAACATTCCCTTTGATGTTGTCATAACCCAGATCAGACTATTGATAAGGTCCAGTGACTTACGGCGTGAGGTCAAAACTGTTTGTTTGCAGTGCTGGGAATGTAAAATGTCTTCTTCCTTCCTGAGCCAACTTGTCCCATGTTAGCAGGATACTTGGACAGTCGGATACTTAAATCCCATCTCAGTCCCTCTGCCTAATCTATGGGGAGAACCGGGCAGTTCTGTTAGCTTCTGGAGAGCAAGAATATAAACAAGATGCTGAGCAGGGAACTGTCTAAAGGAATAGGAAGGACAAGTTTTTTCCAGTCAATAAGAAACATTTACTGAACGTTCCTATGCTCATAAAGCTGAGATTTGGGTGAAATTGAAGCTATTAGGGCAAGCTTATTCTATTCTGTAATCCTCTCTTCCGCCTTAAGATAAGAAGTACGTGCAGCAACTGAAGGAATCGTGGCTGTTAAGTCTGGGGAAAAGGAGGCTGAGGGGAGACCTTACTGCTCTCTTCCAACATCTGAAAGGTGCTTACAGCAAGAGCAGGGCTGGTCCCTTCTCTGGTTTAGTGCTTGTGGTGGCAATGGTGATGAGGAGATGGTTGGACCAGATGATCTTATAGGTCGTTTCCAACCTTGTGATTCTATGATTCCTCTCCTCCCTTTACCCATTCTAAATTTGCCTCCACCCAACTGACAACGATATCTTTATAACTGACGTGTATTTCTGTCTGGTGATCTTCTGAAACTCGTGAAGAGTCCAGGAGGTTCACTGGCTCAGCCTTAAGCACAGGGAGCGAGAGCTTTGTGCACAGAGTTAGCTTGCT